AGTTAGAGAGGTGGCGGTGGAATAAGCAAAAGAGGAAATTGTCAAATACACAACTAACAATTTTGGTTTAGTAATATTTGTATTTGTTAGATAATTTTCCTAAGAAAATGCAATTAACCACTTTGAATATGTTAGATCACCGTGTCTCAACCTCTTTGCTGATCCATTCAACATATTTCTATGTAGTTATATTTTAGTTGTGCTTTGACACATGGTGATAGCTGTCATTTTGCAATCTATTAAAAAATTTATTTAATCTTCAGAATTGTTATTATCCCCAATTGATGATTAACTTGTCAAATTTGACAACCTGTCAAGTACCTTGACTGAAATTAGAGAGGTGGCGATGGAATAAGCAAAAGAGGAAATTGTCAAATACACAACTAATAATTTTGTTTTGGTAATATTTGTATTTGTTAGATGATTTTCCTAAAAAAATGGCAATTAACCACTTTGAATATGTTAGATCAGCGTGTCTCAACTTCTTTACTAATCCATTCAACATATTTCTTTGTAGTTGCACTTTTACTTGTGCTTTGGTACATGGTGATAGCTGTCATTTTGCAATCTATTAAAAAATCTATGTAATCTTCAGAATTGTTATTATCCCCAATTGATGATTAACTTGTCAAATTTGACAAAATGTCAAGTGTATTGAGTAAAGTTAGAAAGGTGGCGTGGAATAAGAAAAATAGGACATTGTCAAATACACAACTAAAAATTTTGTTTTAGTAATATTTGTATTTGTTAGATGATTTTTCTAAAAAATTGCAATTAACCACTTTAAATATATTAGATCAGCGTGTCTCAACTTCTTTGCTGATCGATTCAACATATTTATTTCTAGTTGTACTTACATGGTGATAGCTGTCATTTTGCTATCTATTAAAAAATCTATTTAATCTTCAGATTTGTTATTATCCCCAATTGAAGATCAACTTGTCAAATTTGACAACCTGTCAAGTATATTGAGTGAATAGGAATAGGAAGGTGGCGGTGGAATAAGAAAAAGAGAAGATTGTCAAATACACAACTAAAAATTTTGTTTCTGTAATATTTGTATTTGTTAGATGATTTTCCTAAAAAATGGCAATTAACCACTTTAAATATATTAGATCAGCGTGTCTCAACTTCTTTGCTGATCGATTCAACATATTTATTTCTAGTTGTACTTTTAGTTGTGCTTTGACACATGGTGATAGCTGTCATTTTGCTATCTATTAAAAAATCTATTTAATCTTCAGATTTGTTATTATCCCCAATTGAAGATCAACTCGTCAAATTTGACAACCTGTCAAGTATATTGAGTGAATAGGAATAAGAAGGTGGCGGTGGAATAAGAAAAAGATAAGATTGTCAAATACACAACTAAAAAAATTTGTTTTAGTAATATTTGTATTTGTTAGATGATTTTCCTAAAAAATGGCTATTAACCACTTTGAATATATTAGATCATGCTTTGACACATGGTGACAGCTGTCATTTTGCAACCTATTAAAAAATAAGGTTGTGACCTATAGAATATAGGAAAAAGTATATTGTATTGTAAATTAGGCGGTTTACATTCTAACTACCTATAGACCACAAAGTTCTTACCAATATTGGTCTTAAGATATGTTATTCCAGTAAATCAATTTATAGTTTTGCAGTTTATCAAAAGTCAAATATACTTTGTTCTATATATTTTTCGTATCTGTTAGCTGATTGATATGAGAATATGGCTATTGACCAGATTACATTATATATACAAATATATATTTGTTTTAAAAGGATTTCCACTTAACTATGTACAAAATTGAAATTTTGAGTTAGTATATGAATCTGTGCTTTGTACAGATTTGTTAGTCTACGAAACCATTGCTGCAGTATTTTAACTATTTATGCAAAAATATTGCGCCTCGGCATACGCTATTAATGATTAAATAGTAGCGATCATGCAGAAACTTAGTTGCGTTTAATTGTGGAGTTTCGCAACTTTGGCGGCAATTGCGAATGTGGGCACTGGAAATAAGAACAGAGCGGCGGCGTTCAGCTTAAGCGCTCAGCTTATTTGGGAAATGATTTACATGTTGGACTTGGATCGAGTTTCGGCCGTTAACAGTGATTTACTGCGGCAATTTCGTGCGGCCAGGTCAACGGATCGGAGCAGTTACTTTTAATTAAGTTTCTCTCTCTCTCTCTCTCTTTCATCAACGCGAGATATGCGTAACACGAAACGAAGCAAAAACCGATAAAATGAAGACCGTAAAAGTATAATAATTTGAATGCAGAGAGAGAGAGGCAACAGTAAGCATGCTTTCTGTTTAGGTGGAGGAGGAAGCTGTAAACAGGAGGATAAAACAGGAATGCTTTTTGTATGTGTATAGGAGATGGGAGAATGTGTGGGATAGGTATCAGGTTGGCTTTAAAACAGAATTTTACGCTCCATAAAGGCACGCTCGCACGTACCACTTTTCAAATTGGACATTGCCGAAATATCTATCTGTGAGTGAGGAATAAATTCAATATGCTTGTGTTTTCGGCTCCAACAAGTGCAGATGCCGAGGCTCGGGCGCGTCTGAAATAAAACAGGAGACGACGAGAAAAAAAAAACGAACGAAGTTATAAAGAGAGAGAGAGAGAGGAAAATAGAAACAAGGAAGTAACAAAAAAAAATGTATAAGAAAAGCGCAAGGGAGGTAAAGTTAAAGTTGTGTGTGTATATTTTTTTTTTGTTGTCTCCTCTTTCTTCCCATCTCTTGCGGTAACAAGGAAAAAGTGGATTCCAACCGAAGTTGCTTTGATGCTATTAAAGGGGTGAAAAGACAGAAGAGGTTGGTTCTATGGAGAGAGCGAAACTTTTTGGCCTTTTCTTGTCCGAAGGCCGAAATAAAACTATACTAGTATGTTTAAAGTGAAGTTTTTTTGGTTTTGGTTTTACTTCTTCAGGATGATGGTAATGGAAATATAAAAGAATTCCCTCTGCATCGTTTGCCCTCGCATTGGGGTAGATACATAGATACGGGAGGGACGTTTAATATGCGTTGGACGGATGCCAGATGAAGATAAAAACAATTTGCAATAGATTTCCTCGAAAAATATATCCATATATATATATATTAGAAGAAAAAGAAAACACCCGCATCGCATCACTCACGTAATTTAATTTCGCAGAAGGAAGTACTACATTCGATCCGTTAAATTATTGCGGGACCTCGCAAATCGCATCCTCGCAGGAGTTAGTCTAAAAGCATGGATAAATCTGAGCTTAATCACTGTTGGCAAATATGTTTCCATTAAGCGGAATTGATAAACGACAGCTCTTCCGTTATCTTCTCTTTTTTTTTTGGGGTTTCAATGAAAACTCATTTTAATATAAATGTGCGTAAACACTACACTTTATTTGTGACAAACAAGTGAAGTTTCTATACTGAATATGACAGTTGCTTAAAATAGAGAAAATTTAATCTAACATAGTTACATTATTAAAAGGCTAAATATAATTTGCTATATAATATGTAGTTACCATCAGGGACGTATTTAGGTTGCTATAGGCCAGTGGTCGGAAAAGTGCGGCTCCAGAGCCGCATGTGATTCTTTGGCTCCTTAAGTGCGGCTCTGACACAAATATCCACGGAGGCACAACGACATACAAACCTGACTTACTCCAACTTTCCAACGAGATGCAATCACATTATTGTTCGCAATAATAAATATTTATTAAGTATGAAATTTAGTTTTATTTAGTGTAATAAAAATTTACTAAAATAGCAGATTTGGCTCCCATTTTTTTTTAAATTGTTGTAATGTTCATATTTATCTCTTTGGCTAATAAATTTGCCGACCACTAGGGCCTAGGCTCATGGATGAAAAAAGTCTTTTTTTTTTATATTAATCAATATCTCGCATAGTACGGCTTCGATCAGTGCGGATTCACTATAATATTATTTTTGGAAATTTCGAAACAAAATACATTTAAATTAAAAAAATGTATTTTCTTGAGTATTCTATATGCAAAATTATTAAAGTTTCTTTCTTATAAAGTTTGACAAATAAATATGTTAAAGTTTAAAAAAACAAATATTTTTTAATTTAAATTTTTCATTATTAAACATTTCGATTAAGAAATGAGACCTATACTTTACTACTTCTAAATATAAATCTAATTCAATTAAGTCCATACTTTTAACTATATTTTTTATTTATTTATAAACAAAATTTATAAACAAATTTGTTAAATAATCTAAAGTTTTCTTTAAACAAAAATATTTTTTCAAAGATTTAGATTGATTTTGATACATTACTACTACAAAATCAACAATTATCAACTAAATCAATAGTTTTTATTATTAAAGTTTTAATTGTTTTATTTGTGACAAAATTTTAATTCAATTTATTTCTTCTAAAAAAATATTTCTTCATAAAAAAACAAATTGAAATTTTCTTATATACCCTTGAATATTGTTATTCTGAATAAAGGTATATAATATATTTTTATTTACTATAAAATAAACAGTGAGTAAATCAGAATATGTCACCTAAAGCAAAATAAGTATGAGTTACGTAATGTAGTTCAAGTGCACGTCACCTGTAAACAACTTTTTACATTTAAAAATGTATACGTGAAGTGTACTTTATTGGACTCTCGCTACGTTTTGTTTTGTTTTTTTTTTGTGTCATGCGAGTGGAATTTGTTTATGCCGGTCCGCGCTCTACATACCATCCATAACCATATGTCCTTGCTACATCCTATTTACAATCCACCTGCCAAATTACTCCTGACTATTATCGTCCGATCCAAATCATCATTATTATTAGTCTGCAATATATTATATTTCATTTATTTTATAATGACTGAATGATTAACAAAGCTATAAACTATAGTCCTTTTGGTATTTCCTTGTAAAATAGTGATATTATTAAAATATATCGTTTTCTAAAGAGAAATCTTATATTTTTTTTTATCATTTATAATGAAATATGTGTTTGTCTGATTTACAAGATCTGTAGAATATGCAAGAATGCGCTTCGCTTTAGCAAGTGCTGCATGCGAAATTCCGTTCCAGGTTATGCACTGATTCCGTTTTGCATTCTTTTTTCGTTCGTCCTCAACCATACAACAACAAAAAAAATAAACACAAACGCATACGGTCTGAGTATTTATAGCCGAGGAACAGGAAATCGATGCATGCATGACACCTAGCTAGAAGCAACAACCAGTATACATTATTTTCGTGCACGTCAGAGCTCGAACGTCAAAAAGTTCGGAGCGACTAATAAACGCAGAGCTGCGACGACGACGAAACTAATTAACGTTGACTGTTGTATTTTCGCAGGATACGGCTGGGATAGGCCTCAGGCGGTGCCAGAGGAGCCGCCGCCGACGCCGTCAACTCCATCATTGGAACCACCCAAATTCGATATGATCATTAAAGAAATCGATGCGAACCTTGGTGAAACCGTCCTGCTGCCCTGCACCGTCCGGAATCTCGGCGACAAAGTTGTGAGTTTCACACATCAAAATCCCGACAACCATAATATCAGTGTTAGAATCCCGATAGTATCTTTTATTATTTGATATAGAAGTAGTTTTATTACAGAATGAGCAAATAAAAAAAGAGTAAAACATGTATTAATTAACCGCTAGACTCATCAAAATTAGCAAAAATGATCATTTCACAAAAAGGCAGTGCGCTTGGAAATTTAAGTGTGAAGGAAAGAAACCAGCAGAAGTTTTTGTTCTCAATTCATAACTGTATACCGTATGTATGTATATTGTTGATAATTACAACAATTCTACTCTTTTTTATTTCTATAATAAAACCTAATTACACAAATAAATAAGGTGAATTTACAAAGTTGAGGATGAGAATGAGGATTGGCAAAGTCCGTTAAAACCATAATCTCAACAGTGTTAGAATCCCGATAGTATCTTTTATTATTTGATATAGAAGTAGTTTCATTACAGAATGAGCAAATAAAAAAGAGTAAAACATGTGTTAATTAACTGCTAAACTCATCAAAATTAGCAAAAATGATAATTTTTGTAATAATTCCGTCACAAAAAGGCAGTGCGCTTGGAAATTTGTGGTGTGAAGGAGAGAAACCAGCAGAATTTTTTGTTCTCAATTCATAACTGTATACCGTATGTATGTATGTATATTATTGATAATTGCAACAATTCTACGCTTATTTCCTAATTACACATAGACAAAGTTGAATGAGGATTGGCAAAGTCTGTTAAAATGTTCGAGATTTTGATACAGTCGGGATTTCCATTATCGAAATTTCTACAGTGTCGAGATTATGGTTGTCGGGATTTTCAATTTCATGTCGGGATTTCGATATAGACCCCATTCTTATACAATTTGATCTACAAACCAAACTTTATCAACATTCAAACAAAAATTTAAAAAAAAAACAATCTTCGTAATTACCCACAACATATCGGGTTACCACAAGAGTTGTGTTATTTTTTTTAAACCGCGAATTTCTGCGGAAGGTTCGCCTGGAATTGGATACTCTCGAGGTTTCAGGAAGCATTGTCGTCGCATTCATACGTACACATAACCCACAGTCTCGCTGCGCGCACAAAGGACTGCTCGCATTTAAACTCGGCTCCGTATTCTATGAAATCTGAAGTCATCTCCTGAAGGGAATTCCACGGAACACGTATCATAAAGCGTCCGCTGAAAGATGTGGATTGTACCGTGAAGTTTCTTCCTCTTTTCTTTCTTTTTTTTTTCTTACTAGTATCTTCATCCTTCCTTCCTTTCGTTCTTCATCTTCTTCTCGCCCCTTTTCTTCTAATGCGTTTCCTCCATCGCTGTGTGTCCGATTTTTGTATGCATTTTGCCGCAAACAAAGATCGTTAGAGAGATTGTTAGGAGCGTCTGAGAAAAAGGGAGCAAGGATTGTGAACAGAACAGGAATGGAATGATGGTTGAGGTTGTTGCATTTCGTACAATATGTAATGTAGCTTTTGCAAATTCACTTGTATAATTCTAATTTCTTTAATTGAATAAAATAGTTGTAGTGTATATGAATACATTAAATAAATTGTATAATTATTAGAAAAAAATGAACATACACAAATCATTATAAATATTGGATGAAAATATGTAATATTAATATATAATTAAAGATAAAAATTCAGTGAATGTTTTTGTAATTTCAGTTTGAAAATGCAAAAAAAAAACAAAAATTTTTAATCAAAAAAATTACTTTAAAATTAGTTAATAGCACCCAAAATTGTAAATTAAAATTTTCCAGAAAATATAAAAGCACAAAAACTCACAATAACTAATATAAAATTGTTTTAATATGCAATAAATTTCCTAATTGAAAAATTGTGTAAAATCAATGTAAATGTAATGATAAAGTATTGATTTACAAATTTGCGAAATGTAATTAAAACTCTCCGATTTAAGTGGATTCAGAGCGACTTTCTCAATTGAAGCGATAAAATTTAATTTGATTTATCTCAAATTAATTGAATTAGCGAAACTTTTTCAATCGCACTTTTTGCTTGTAAAATACGTAAAAAAAACAGTAAAAGAGGAAAATTTTTAAACGTTACTTAATCCGTTAATTGATTAAACTTCTTTTTCGTGTATTTATTTATTTACAATCGTTTAATTAGTAGAAAATGATTAAATTAAGAATATTATTGTATTGTAGTTTATACCTATGATCAGATTGAAAGATTAACGTGTGCAATTTTTGTGCAAAGATTTTTTTTCTTAATAACTCAAAAATTTCTGACTTTTTTTAAAAATCCATATGATTATATTGTTTTATAAGAGATTTTTATCAAGTTCCAATAAATATGTTTTCTTGTAGTTCAAAAAATATTTGGAAGTTTTTACAAAATAGTTATTTTTTGAGTAAAGAAAGACTAATTTTGAAAATTCAATTGAATAATTCCAATTTCCTTAATTGAATAAAATAGTTGTGGTGTGTATGAATACATTAAATAAATTGTATAATTATTAGACAAAATTGAACATACACAAATCATTAGAAATATTGGATGAAAATATATAATATTAAATTATAATTAAAGATAAAAATTTAATGAATGTTCATGTAATCAGTTTGAAATTGCAAAAAAACATTCAAAAATTGTAACAGATATTACAAGAAATAAATATAATGTAAAAATGTATATCGAAGCAAAAGAAAATGACTATAAAATTAGTTAATTGCATCCAAAATTGTAAATTCAAATCTAATTATATGGAATTGTCTTAATATTCATTAATAATCAATAAAGTTTGCTAATTGAAAAATTTTGAAAAAAAAAGTATTGATTTACAAATATGCGAAATGTAATTAGAACTCTCCGATTTAAGTGGATTTAGAGCAACTTTCTCAATTGAAGCGATAAAATTTAATTTGATTTATCTAAAAATTTATTGAATTAGCGAAACTATTTCAATCGCACTTTTTGCTTGTAAAATACATACAAAAACAGTAAAAGAGGAAAATTTTTAAACGTTACTTAATGCGTTAATTGATTATACCTGGTTTTTGAGTATCGTTTAATTAGTAGAAAGTGATTTTTGCGCAATTTTTGATATAAAAAAAGGTTACGTAATGTAAATAGAGTTTTTTTTTCTTAATAACTTGAAAATTTCTGACCTTTTTTAAAAATCCATATGATTCTATTGTTTTATAAGAGATTTTGATCAAGTTTCAATAAATATGTTTTCTTGTCTCTTTAATTAATTATTGATAAGTTTAATTAATAATTTCTGTTTTTGCAGTTCAAAAAGTTTTTACAAAATTGTTATTTTTTGAATAAAGAAAAACTAATATTGTTGTTAAGTTATTTATATTTTTGTTTAATTTTTGATTATTTCAGATGTTGGTGATTTCAAGTAAATATCGTTATAATTAAGTGTGTCAATCAATCGATTGGGAATGGTTCCACCATTTCAGCTAGATTTCGTGTTCCACATCGTCCTTCTATCTCTGTATTATTACTTATTAACCTGCTTCATGTTATACTTCATGTACGTGTGCATAATGTAATTGGAAATAAAGAATGTGCAATAAATATAAGTGAATAAAAAAAAACAAAAATAACACACAGAACAAATAAATAAATAAAATAAAATTCAAAGTTTCATTTTGGAAACATGGGAATCGTTCTCGACTTGAAAACCACTTTTAACAGCTAATATCGCTCCCAGCAGCGACATAAATTACGATCCAAAAGTTTTGCATTCAAAACTGCCAGCATTATTGGCACACAGCCCATTAGTTTTTCCACCGCATCCATTTGTTGTCGAAGTTCCTCTGGTATCGTTCCTCTGATACGGATAACGCTAACAAACAAACAGAAAAAAAAACAACAATAGTTACAACAAAAACAACAAAAAAGTAACCAGGAACGTAACGAAACCAACAAACAATAATTGAAGCAATCATTCATTAGATAATCCAACTTTGGTTGTGTAAAAACAGAGAGAGAGAGAAGCAAATGATACAGGAATAAATCAATTCGGATTTTTCATATCTGATATTAGCGTTTTGCACGTAATGGCTCGGAGTCACGCGAAACGCCGAAACCCAATGCAAATAGTTTATAAATTATGATTCAATTTCGCTTGTGTTTCGCAATTTATTTATTACGAGCGACGATCGTAAATCTCCTAAAGGGCGTAATTATAATCGCCCCAATTTCTTTCTTTTTAATAATTCCTATAGCAATTCTGAAGATGTTTCTGTTCCGAAGTATTATGATCGATGCGTTTAATTTTCGAGCGTAGATCGACGATTTTAATAGCGAGAAGATGCAATTATGCATGGGAATTTATATATATATATTTGTGTGTGTGTACGTGCCCAAAGCACTTCTCTCCTCTGGATTATTTACAACCTCAACACGGAATTTATACGTGCGTTCGTTTATATTTAGCTTAAATTTAGATTAGTTAAATTAGATGGCTATTCTTAACTTACAATGCATTGCGCAGAGGTGGTGGAGGAGGAGGTGGAGGAATATCCTGCAACGACGGATGATTCATTGTTTCATAACACTGCGTGCCAGTTGCGCGCTCCGAACAACGGTGTCATTTACGAACAAACAAAAAAAAAATGTAATAGAAGAGGACGTTTTGCATTTCGAGCGGGAGCTGTAAACAAACGTTATGCAACCGCTTCGTAAAGCGTCTTTTGATGTACTCTTAGGTTGTTATAGCAACATCGGGGACGTCATGTATAAAGTTTTGAAGATGGATAAGCCGGATCTCGAATTAGCATCCTTTGATCTACAATCCACCTCTAAATTCCACACTTAACTTGATTCAGTTCTGGTATTCCTTTTTTTGTTCTGTCATATTCTCAATATGATTTATAATTTCTATTACCATTGAAAAAAAAAGTACAATATTCATTATTATTTATTTGCAAACAAAAAAATTATACATTAGATATTTTTATTTGTTCCATTTCAATATAATATTAGAATAATTTTTATTAATATTTCAAAGATTAGTACTGAAGTAATTGTATAACATAAATTAAACAAATTCATATAAAAAACGTTGATTTTTTTAATTACTTTTCATAATTTGATTTTGAACTTTAGAAAAGTTTGTTTGTTTTATTTGATTATTTGTAAAGCACAATTAGACAATAATTTGTATTAACATTTCAAAGATAAGTACTAAAGTAATTGTATAACATAAATGAAATAAATTCATATAAAAAAACGTTGATTTTTTGTATTAATTTTCATAATTTGATTTTGAACTTTAGAAAAGTTTGTTTGTTCCATATTATTATTTATAAAGTACAATTAGACAATAATTTGTATTAACATTTCAAAGATAAGTACTAAAGTAATTGTATAACATAAATGAAACAAATTCATATAAAAAACGTTGATTTTTGTGTTAATTTTTATAATTTGATTTTGAACTTTAGAAAAGTTTGTTTGTTCTATTTTATTATTCATAAAGAACAATTAGACAATAATTTGTATTAACTTTCAAATAAAAGTACTAAAGTAATTGTATAACATAAATTAAACAAATTCATATAAAAAACGTTGATTTTCTTCTTGTTTTTCATAATTTGATTTTGAACTTTAGAAAAGTTTGTTTATTCTATTTTATTATTTCTAAAGTACAATTAGATAATAATTTGTATTAACGTTTCGAAGATTAGTACTAAAGTAATTATATAACATAAATTAAACAAATTCATATAAAAACGTTGTTTTTTTTAATTATTTTTCATAATTTGATTTTGAACTTTAGAAAAGTTTGTTTGTATTAAAAAAAGTTTTTTTTTAAGTTTCATTATTTTCAATAAACCTTTGAAATCTCTATTTTTTCCATTTTATCATGTATAAAGTAAAATCAGATTTTGACAGACGTCGTCTGAAGATTGGTACTTCCTAAAAATCATATGTATTTATCGATAGAGACGCCATCTATATGTCAAGAAACTTATTGATTGGGGTGTTATATAAATTAATTAAAGAAAAATAATTGCAAAAACTAATTTCAATTATTTATTTCTATTTAACACTTTATAATTAATTTATTTGATATATCTTCAAAGAAATAGATTCATTGTTAATTATATATCAATACATCAAACCTAGGACAAAATATTATTTATTAAACGATAAATTATTATTAAAATCGTTGTAATATTGATACACACTTTGTTAAACTAGATAAAAGAATATATGTAGGTAAAATTTGCATAAAAGCATATCAGAGTACGTTTTAAAAGCAAGTATAAGTTAATTATGAGCACGCTTTACCTATCTAAGGGAAAATTCTAAAAGCATAAAAGTTTAAAATATGAATTGATTATGAACAAAAAAAGTTGAAATATTGATAAAATATGCAAATAAATAAATTAAAATTTGTTAGATTTACTTTTTTCTATGGAATTATAAAATTTTATATTTTTATAAACTGTAATTTCTTCCATATTTTTTTTTTTACAAGAAAACAGGAAAAGATTTGTAATATTTTATATCGTTTATAAATATTAAATAAAGTAGAAATTTTTCAAGTTTTTGTAAAAAAAACTTTTGTAATTAACTAATTGAATTTGATACAGAATGGATGCAATATTATAATCATTTATATTCATTTTTGTATAAGTTATGATTTATGGAATTATTGTAATATTTCAAATTTGTTACATTTGATTTTCTCTAGTAAATATTTGGTGTGTTCGCAGATCTCATGGATAAGGACCCGAGATCTATCGATACTAACATCTGGAACGTTCACGTTCTCAGCGGACAGCCGTTTCGAGTCGGTGTACTCACACGAAGCAGATTTCTGGGGATTAAGGATACGTGGCGTCAAAATCACGGACACCGGCCAATACGAATGTCAGGTCAACACGGATCCGAAGATGAACCTGGCGGTAGCCCTCACAGTTGCCGGTGAGTTAAACTGAGATGAAAAAAAAAACGAAAACTTAAGTTAACAATTTTTGCAATTTCGTGCAGATAGCAGAAGACCTGCAGGGATGAGCTACAAGTTCACCAACGTGGCTACAATAAAGTCGCCGAGGGAGGTGTACGTGCGAGTCGGACTTCCTATATCTCTGACCTGCGAGATAATCCCGACGTCCGATTCCGGATCATTGGCTGAGAAATCGCGCGTCCGATGGATGCACAAGGGCCAGGAAATAACGTCCGAGGTAGGTGGAAGTGCAGTCTAAATAATCGTCCCGTTGTACAGAGATGGACAGGAAAAGTGGAGAGAGCAACAACAGGATCCACTAATTAGCTAATTAGGCTTACACTGTTACAGTCCGATAGGGGCGGAATTTCCGTGGATACGGATTACAGGGAGAGGAAGATCACCAGTCGTTTGAGAGTTTCCATGGTGACCGCTGACGACGAGGGCTTCTACACGTGCACCCAAGAAGCCACCAGACAGGATTCCGTCAAGCTGAGCGTGGTTCAAGGTAAGCCACTACATTACAAACAACCGTGTTTACAGCCTACTCGGATTGTTGTTGTATTACGTATTACAAACAAATGAAACATGACACCCTCCCACCATCAGTCGGATGGACCCTTTATTTACAATTAAAGCTTTCATCTGGGATTCACAGAGTACACCAAATTAACGCATTTTCCAAGAACCACTTTGTTTACCACAAAATTTTACAATTTCTTTCTCAGAATTATTCTCATAAACCAAAGAATTTCCAAAACATCTGTTTTTATCATAATAACGTATATAAATATAAAACAAAATAATCTAGTTTTATAACTTTATTCAACTGTTTTTACAGTTTTTACTTACTTCATTTTATTCTAATTATTATATATTTAATAAATTACAAGAATTATACAAATTATTTTTATTATGTATTTTTTCATTATTTATATACCAAAAAACTTACAATAATTTTAACATAATTCAATTAATTTCAAGTAATTATGAGCACGCTTTACCTATCTAAGGGAATTATGAAAAAAAAAAAAATATATAAAATTCTAAAAGCATAAAAGTTTAAAATATGCATTGATTATGAACAAAAATATTATTATGAATTGAAATATTGATAAAATATGCAAATAAATAAATTTAAATTTGTTAGATTTACTTTTTTTATGGAATTATAAAATTTTATATTTTTATAAACTGTAATTTTTTCCATGTTTTTTTTTTACAAGAAAACAGGAAAAGATTTGTAATATTTTATATCGTTTATAAATATTAAATAAAGTAGAAATTTTTCAAGTATTTGTAAAAAAAAAACTTTTGTAATTAACTAATTGAATTTGGTACAGAATGGATGCAATATTATAACAATTTATATTCATTTTTGTATAAGTTACGATTTATGGAATTATTGTAATATTTCAAATTTACAAATTAACGCATTTTCCAAGAACCTCTTTGTTTACCACACAATTTTACAATTTCTTTCTCAGAATTATTCTCATAAACCAAAGAATTTCCAAAACATCTGTTTTTATCATAATAACGTATATAAATATAAAACAAAATATCTAGTTTTATAACTTTATTCAATGTTTTTACAGTTTTTACTTACTTCATTTTATTCTAATTATTATATATTTAGTAAATTACAAGAATTATACAAATTATTTTTATTATGTATTTTTTCATTATTTATATACCAAAAAACTTAAAATAATTTCAACATAATTCAAGTAATTTCAAGTAATTATGAGCACGCTTTACCTATCTAAGGGAATTATGAAAAAAAAAATATATAAAATTCTAAAAG